AACAATCTGGTGACATGCCTGGGAGGGGAAGGGTCAATTGCTGAGCTATATGGAATAGGTGAAGAGAATTGGAAGGTTCTATTTCTTAATCAGTTTTTTCTAGGAATTTTCTTTTTTTTTTTTTTAATAAATTTATTTATTTATTTTTGGCTGTGTTGGGTCTTCGTTTCTGTGCGAGGGCTTTCTCCAGTTGCGGCGAGCGGGGGCCACGCTTCATCGCGGTGCGTGGGCCTCTCACTGTCACGGCCTCTCCCGTTGCGGAACACAGGCTCCAGACGCGCAGGCTCAGTAGTTGTGGCTCACGGGCTTAGTTACTCCGCGGCATGTGGGATCCTCCCAGACCAGGGCTGGAACCCATGTCCCCTGCACTGGCAGGCAGATTCCTAACCACTGCGCCACCAGGGAAGCCCAGGAATTTTCTTGTGTTTAGGCTCACCTTCAATCTCACTTCAAGACATACCTATTGTTTCCAATTGCTGAGCTTTTTGTGGGTTTGCAGTATAAATTAAGTCACTTGAATTGAAGTTTCCTGGGTCTGCTAAGTCAGTTATCATTTGTCTTTTTCCTTTCCACTTTCTAAAATGCTGTTGCTATTCTCTCTTCTCTCATCTCTTTGTCTGAAGTGGTGTGTGTGTGTGTGTGTGTGTGTGTGTGTGTGAGAGAGAGAGAGAGAGAGAAGCCCTTTACTGTTGTTCAGTGATAGTTTAGCAGACAGCACAGAGCTAACGTACAGGTTCAGTTCTCCAGAAGGCCCTTCACCTGTACTGTACAGAGAATCTCAGAGAAGTCACTCTTCAGGCCTATTCTTGATTGTGTTCGAGCAAATGATAACATGTTTTTCTAATGACACATTTTTGTTTGTTTGTTTTAATGGATGCTCCTGATGCTGGTCTGGAAGGTTGAAAAATGTTTTTTTTTTCTCTTTTCTATATTTACATGAAAATAATTCATCTTCATGCTAAATACATTGTTTACCTTACAGGAACTTTATTTTTGAATTTAAAAAGTTTGTGTTTTTGTGCTTTTTTTATTTTTTTCAAAGCAATTCCATGCATTGTGGATCAGAAATTTCTGCTGGCGGGCTTCCCTGGTGGCGCAGTGGTTGAGAGTCCGCCTGCCGATGCAGGGGACACAGGTTCGTGCCCTGGTCCGGGAAGATCCCACATGCCGCGGAGCGGCTGGGCCCGTGAGCCATGGCCGCAGAGCCTGCACATCCGGAGCCTGTGCTCCGCAACGGGAGAGGCCACAACAGTGAGAGGCCCGCGTACCGCCAAAAAAAAACGAAGAAATTTCTGCTGGCTACACTGGCTGAATGTGGAAATCATTGATTTTCACAAAGATGAATCCTGACTAACATTAATTGCAAACTCCATTTTGAGGGCAGTATAGGAATTTTTTTTCCTTTCTTTTTTGCCATGTTTTACTTTAGTTTGTCCATCAATGTGCCTTTCATCTTTTAAAAATACACCACAGTGCAAATGGCATGTTCTGTACCTTTTTGTTTTGTTTTGTTTTCACTTGGATCAAATGGTTTTGACAGAAAAAGATTTGAACCACCCTTTCCTTCGTTAACAGCTATTGTAATTTCTTGGAACTTGATTTTCACTTGGGCAGTTAAGAAGACAACGCTTGTTTTTTGCATCAGTTTTTTTCTCTCTTTCTCTCTCTTGTGTGTGTGTGTCTGTGTGTGTGTGTGTCTGTGTTTGCACACGCGTGTGTGCAGGACCAACCTTCAGGCTTATGGCTTGTGGAACCTTCTCTTAATTTAATGTAAAACAGAATTCAGTGATTAGCAACATCACTAAAAACTGACCCAGTCTCTTCTCATGAGTCACTGACACCTGTTGAATATGAATGGTCCAGTGTCCACCCCGGAAGATGCTACTAGGCTTCACAGTTAAGAAGCACAGAGGACTGGTGACCGCCCTCCCACCCCCGCATCACATGCTTGGGACGGTGCCAGGGGTTTTCCTGGCACAATTTGATGCCCAGTGCCACAAGCTTGGGTCTGCTCTTGGGGGGACCAGGGGTCCTTCCTTCTCCTCAGTTGCTTTATGGGCATTCACTCAGTGAACCCAACTGGGTGCACATCCTGACCTTTTAAACCTAAAGGTTGGGCCTGATCAGTGGTTACTTTGCACACGTGCCTTCTAAGTGCCGGATGTGTATCCCCGTGGCATTATCGTTGCCGTCCCTGTGGATTCAGCCACGGGTTTCTGACAAGCTGGAGGAAACAATGGTAATTTTGGCTTTTTTGGGTTTGTTTTCAGATAATGAAAAGCTTTTGTAAAACAGCTGAGTGTCAGTATGATTTCTGTGGCTTCAATCTCCTTTAAACATAATATTCTTAAGGGTCCAAAACAAAGGAGGGGGGAAAGTTAAAAAAAAAAAAAAAGAAACAAAGAAAACCAAACCAAAAAAAAAAAAAGAAAAATGAAATAAATAATAATAATAAATTGCTGGTATTGCCACAAATCATTAGAAATCTCCTGACATGCTGAAACCAAATGGCCGTAAGTTCAAAACAAATCAGTGACTTGTTTTTAATTTTTCGTGGTTTCCTTTTGTTCTTTCTGCCCCTTTGCCGTCAGATTGGTGATGTTATTCAAACAGGACCGAATCCCCGCCAAGTGCAGGATCGACCCCGCCGCCTCTTTCATCTCATCATCGCTCTCGGGGGGCTTTTCCGTGCATCTCTTTTTGAGAGGCAGCATGTCGCTGGGGATCTTCCTTGCCTTGGCGAAGTGCTGGTGCTTCTTGTGCTGGGACACATAGATGCTGTCCCCCAGAGCATCCTTGGCCTCCTTCGGGCTGCATTTCCTGTCATCCTCCTCCGTCTCGCTGTGGCTCTCGTGGCTCTGGAAGCTGCCCTCGCTGCCATTCTTGCTCCCCTTGGTGGCAAACTCGTAGTGGTCGTTGGCCAAGGAGGAGGAGATGGAGTCGCTGGCGGGCGAGGCGCTCCTGGCACTGAAGGACTTGGCACTGCTGTAGTTGTCATCCTCCTTGGGTCTCCACTGCCCACTAGGGAGCCACAGGACGGCTCGCTCTCAGTCCGCATCCGGCAGCTGGTGAGGCCATTCTTCCCGGCTGCTGTCATTCCAGTGGGAGTGATTGGCAACAGCCGGACTCGAACCCGCGTTCCGTTTTGTATCACTCTTGGAGGAACTGCTTGTATCTCGGGGAGTATTCAAAAGCATCATGGCACTGGCAGCATCAATGTCAGGATCTTGTAGAAAGGCTCCATTTCTCTTAAAGAAGGTGCTGTCTTGCCAGAGGGGTGGACCTGATGTGCTTTGTTATGCCTGAGTAGAGGCGGGAGGTGTATTGAACACATTCGAGTGTGGGTGATAAGGTGTCTTTTTCAAAGCCTGAATTAGACTTTCTTTGTCTGTACTCTGGATTAGACTTTGTACTCTGTACAATGACCCTTTCCCGATACTCTGACTCCTCTCTTTGTCCACTTTCTTAAAACACTTATTCAAGGACAAATTATGTCTCATTGAGTTTTTCCACCCAGTAGGTGCGTTTGCAAAATACGGAAAATGTTCCAAGATCCAGTTGTAGATATCCTTTCCCGACAGGCACTTGGTTGGAGAGTCCTCAATAGCCATAAATATGAGGCAGCTGAAGGAGTAGGCGGGCTTGCAGTTGGGGTTCTGCCTGGCATCATAGGGCATGTCGGAGTGGGCAGGGGATGGGGGCGTGTCAGCGTCCAGGTCCTGGACGGGGCTGACGCTCTGCAGGACCGAGTCCCCAAAGCTCTTCAGCAGGTTCTTGCTCTCGTGCAGCCAGTTCAGGTTGGTCAGCTCTTCATCTTCCATGGCCCCCTCTTCTTATCGGATGTCAGGCAGAGAAAAGTCGAGGTCATCGTCTTCCTGAAGGGCCTTGGAGAAACCGCTGCCCCGGTAACACTGACTCAGCCCACCGGAGACACTAATTCCTGAGCTTTCTGGTTTCTCACTGGGAGGCATGACTGGACCCATTTACGTGAAGGCTCCTGGCCGGAGCGGGGCGCGGGGGCTCAGGGGCGCTACTGCCCTTCAGCGGGAGCCAACAGACTTTCGCAGGCACCCAGCGGGCATCGCTTGGTGGACCAGCTAAGGACGCGAGGGGCGGGCTCAGGCGGCAGGGGCGCGGGGGTCGCAGCGCGGCATGGGACCTGCGGCGCGCCGCGTGTCCTCCCACCGGCCCCGCGCTCTCTCCGCCCCGCCTACCTGCAAAATATGTTTTATTTTCTGCTTTCTGCCAAGCCTCAGTTGTGTTTAAGCCAGTTCTTTTCTATAGCTTTGCAGGCCCACAAGTAATGTTTATTTCATTTATCTTTTGTGAACAGGGAAGACAATGTGAGGTGTCATACAGAAATGCTCTATATTAAGATGTATATGATAAGCCCCAGAACAACCACTAAGGAAATAACTAAAAAAAAAAAAGTAACAAATCAAGAAAGGAATTAAGAGGCTATATCAGAAAATATTCACTTACTGTTTTTAAAAAGTAGTAGGGGAGGAATAGAGGAACAAAAAAGATATGTAATATATAGAAAACTAAAATTAAATTGGCAGACATAAGCCAACTACATCAGTAATAACATTAAATGTGAATGGCTTAAGCAATTCAATCAAATGACAGAGATTATCACATGGGTTTAAAAAAATAAAGACAAAAAGAAGACCCAGCTATATGCTGGATAAACAAAATAGAGGATAGAAAAACAATAGAGAAAAATCAATGAAACCAAAAGTTGATTCTTTGAAAAGATCAACAGAACTGACAAACCTTTAGCTAGATTGACCAAGAGAAAAAGGAGAGAATACTGCAATTACTAGAGTCAGAAATGAAAGAGGGGAGCGTACTACCAACCTTACAGAAAAAAAAACAATTATAACAGATTCCTGTGAACATTCAGATATGCCAGTAAGTTGGACAACTTAGATTAAATGGACAAATTACTTGAACAGAATCCTCTATAGGTAAGAACTGACTTTATGATACCTTTGCAGGCTGCTGCCTTCTCCTCTCAAGGATGCAGTAGAAGTATCAACCTGGAGAAGATGCTATACAATGCAAGAGGTGAACTCTGCCCTTAGTAAAATCCAGCTGGTGGGATATTCTCAGAAAATTGTGAGTGTTAATATGATTTTAAGTGACTGATGAATGCTTCCGATTCATACTGTTGTTCTTTGGGAGGATCCTATACGGCCTTTTTTCTAAGTATCTTTTTTTTTTTAATTTATTTTGGCTGTGTTGGATCTTCGTTGCTGCACGGGCTTTCTCTAGTTGCGGTGAGCGGGGGCTACTCTTCTTGCGGTGGCTTCTCTTGTTGCAGAGCACAGGCTCTAGGAGCGCGGGCTTCAGTAGTTGTGGCTCGGGGGCTCTAGAGTGCAGGCTCAGTAGTTGTGATGCACGGGCTTAGTTGTCCCATGGCATGTGGGATCTTCCCAGACCAGGGCTCGAATCTGTGTCCCCTGCATTGGCAGACGGATTCTTAACCACTGCGCCACCAGGGAAGTCCCTAGTTTCCTTTTTTAAGCCACTCAGTCACTACAAATCTTGTACTAGTACATAGTGAAAAGATAGAACATCTGTTGTTTTCCTCCATCTTTCCCAGGTTCTTATTGGCACTCTTTCCTAACCCTTACATTCCCCATCGCTAGCTAGCATGTAATGAATCAGGAGAAAGGCATCTCATCCTGTTTACTTTAGAACAGTGACACCACTTTACGGATTTTGGACTAGTGAAACAGGAAACAGAATAAAAGAGATCAAGAAATAATTTGGCAAGTATAACTTTTGAGCTCTGACCTGATCATGATAAGGGTTCCCATTCCTGTTAACTTGTGCCCAGAGCCACTAAGTACAGAACAACCAAGATATTAGTTCCTAACCTGAAAAGGGAAGGAAAAAAAGAAGAAGAAAACCGAAGTATTTGTCTCTTCGGTCTCTTTCATAATATAGCATCTCTGCCTTTTAATGAGTGAGGCCTAGTTGCCTGGTGCCATGTGGATAGACTGAATCTCTCAGAGATGTGACAAGTAAAGACTGTCAGATGTGTCTCCCAAATGGTCTCCATCATCTTTCTGTTTTACTTTAAACTTTCTGGTTCACTTGAAAATAGTTTCTAAGTGGAGAAGAATGTTTCTGTTATTTTTCCCTGCGAACTTATCTGGCATGACTGTACTGCTGAATGCTCATCACACATTCTTATTGTGGTTCTTTTCTAGGAACTTTTTGGTGCAGTCCAGGTGACTCCTTTAAGCTCTGGCTATGCCCTTGGAAGCTCCAACTGGATTATCCAATCCCATTATGAGAAAGTGTCTTACGTCTCTGGATCCTCCTTGCTTACCACACACCCCCAGGTAATTCTAAATTCTCTTTTAACAGCTCAGCTTTTTGGTTATTTACCCTAAATTCAGAATGTGTCCAAAGTACCATCAGCTGTTTTTAAATCTTCCTAATTTCAGTTTCTACAAACACTGTTTTTTTTTTGTTTTGTTTTGTTTTTTTGCGGTACGCGGGCCTCTCACTGTTGTGGCCTCTCCCATTGCGGAGCACAGGCTCCGGACACGCAGGCTTAGAGGCCATGGTTCATGGGCCCAGCCGCTCCGCGGCATGTGGGATCTTCCCGGACCAGGGCACGAGCCCGTGTTCCCTGCATCGGCAGGCGGACTCTCAACCACTGCGCCACCAGGGAAGCCCAAACACTCTTTTTTGTATTGTGGTAAGAACACTTAACATAAGATATACCCTCATAATAAATGTGTAACTGTACAATACATGATTGTTGACTGTAAGTGCGACGTTGTATAGCAGATCTGTAGAGCTTACTCATCTTGCTTTCCTGAGACTTTATGTCCTCCTCTTTATCAGAGTTAGAATATTCGTGTCCATAGTTCCTCTGTAAGATCCTGCTGCCTTTAGGTCACCTCTAGGATTTAGAGATTTCCCAACACTTCCAATAACCAGAGCCTGATGAGTGTAACAGAGTTGATCACTTGTTTACTCAATAAATATTAATTACTTAATATTTACTAAGGGCCTACTATGTGTCAAGCGCTTACCTAGGTATTAGAGATTCAGTGGTGACCCACAGACAAAGCCCCTTCTCATGAATCTGCCTTTGTTGATGTATAGAGAGAGAATGGTGTGCTGAAAATAAATGAGCAACGTAATTCCAGATTCTGACACAAGTACTGAAAACAACAAAGCAGAGTTATATATAGAATGATGGAGACTAGTTTAAATTGGATGGTCAGAGGAAGCTTCTAGGGACAGTCTCATTGGAACTGAGACCTGGAGAAATGAGGCATGTAAAGCTGTGGACAAAGCACCACAGGGACATGGCAGATGAAGGGCTCCTAACACCAGAACAAGCTGGGCATGTCTGCAGAGCAGAGGAGACCATTGTGATTGCAGCATACTAAGTATGATCAGGACATGTCCAAGAGGTTAGCAGACACCAGGCCATGTAGGACTTTGTAGGCCACGATGAGAAATTTGGATTTTATTTGAATGTATAGACTGAAGCTATTGGAAAGTTTTAGGTAGTCATTCATTATCAGTCACATTGGCAAGCACCTAAGTGCATAAATATTGTTATAAATGTTAGTTATTCCATTTTAGGTATTTGTAAAGAATTTATTGTTCATTTCATAGATCCTGGTTCTTTCCATGTTTGTAAAGGATGGCAAGGGAGATTAGATATTGTTAGTTAGACATTGTTAGTTAGCCGGTGGATGGGTGGATGGATGGATAGATAGATAACTTGGGGGAGCCCATGTCCCATTTTAATATAGGAAAAAGAATGACTGCTGTAAGTCCAGAACAGTAGGATTCTTCTGAGCTGCCACTCTGCATTGTTTTTGTACCTTTTTTATAATCAAGTTTCATTTCAAGGTCTAGAGGGAACAAGTGGCTATTTTTTCCTATAGCTAGCAGAATTCTTGGCCTTTCCCGCTTATTGAAATCAAAAGCCCATCAATGTCATCCTAATCTGCTTCATTGAAACAAATTTTTTATTGGCAGCTTCTATCATTCCTGATATATTCTCCCATAAAAGACAGAAAGATTACTTGGCTGCCAACTCTTCCAATTTGTCCTGCCTTTGCAATACTATTGATGTAATTTCCAGTAAATTATACTTACAAGGTCTGTAAATTTAAAGGGAAAATAAGGTCTTGAAAGTAATGAGCAGCATACCTAAGTAATTAATTTTAATTTCTAGCTGGCAACCACTATTGTATGTTAAAAAGAAAGTAAATTAGATTTTCTTTTACCCAGATAATTGGATTCTATATTGAATCAGCAGGGATAAGGAAAGGTTTGGTTTGAAAAAACTTGATACTTTACTTCAGAGGTCAGCACACCACCTGTTCTGGTAAATAATGTTTTGTTGGAATACCGTCACACCCATTTGCTTCATGGGTTGTTTGTGGCTGATTACACCCTATCGTGGCAGTTATACTTTTCGACTTTATAGAAAAGGGCCAATCACCGATCGGCTTTAGTAATGGAACCCCATGACCTAGGAAGAATGTGGCAGCCAGCTATACTGATCTAATAAGCATATGGAAATGAGGCTTTGGATTAAGCCTGTAACAGTAAGAATGGAAATGTAGGTTAAAGAAACATTGGCAGATCTTTAATTCAACAAACATTTCTTGAATAACCGCTGTCTTCGGGGAAGGAAAAATACAAGTCAAAGATCTTATGCCTGGACGACACTGAGAATGATGATAATGACACTAATCCAGTTGACAAGGAGGAGTTGGCGGGGGTGGGGAGGCGGCTGCGGTCATTAGTTTCAGAAGGGGGTGGTGTGTGTGATGAATAGGAATTAGAGAGAACATTGGACAGATGGAAATGCAGAGCTGGAAGCTGGATTTGAAGGCAAGCCTGGAGACAAATTGGAGAGCCATCAGATTTTTTTAAATATATAACATGCTGAGGATTAAAGACTGAGCTGTGGGAAACAGTGGAAGGAAGAAAAATGGTCTTGAATAAGAATGTTTGGAGAATTGAGGCCAAAAAAAGTACAGCATCCCAAATGGAAAAGGAAGAGAACTAGCCTTTACTGAGCACACCGTCTCAGTATTAATTTCTTAAATCGATCTAATATTCAGCAACCATGGTGATTTCTCATAGTAATTCTGATATTTATCTGTTGATGGTAGTATCTGCAAAGAAGTAAGAGTTTTGTCACTAAGCTTCCAATCCTTGTATCTTTTCTTTTTCCCATCTTGTAACTAAGCTCTCTAGTTCCATGTTAAACAGAAGTGATGATAGCAGCATCATTGTTTTATATCTGATTTTAAAGGGAATGCTTTCCTAGTCTCTTCATTAAATATGATGCTTACATGTCTTTATTTGTCAGGTTAAGGAGTTTCTCCTCTGTTCCTAATTTTCTGATTTTTTAAAACCAGATATAGGTGTTATTTTTATCAAATACTTTTTCTGAGTCTGTGAGTTAATCATGTGATTTCTTTCACTGAGTCCATTAATGTAGTGAATTGTAATGTTAACTTTTCTCGCATGTAACCATCCTTGCATTCCTGGGATAAATCTTACTTGATCATATAATTTATTCTTTTCAAAATACCTTCCTGGAATCATTTGGTCAGTATTTTATTGAAGTTTATAATCTGTATCCATAAGTGAAAAATGGACCCATACATTATTTTCTTGTACTATCTTCATTCGTTTTGGAATACATTAGTCTCATCAGATGATTTGGGCACCTTTCCCTCTTTATCTGATGGCCAGAAATTTACAAGATAGGGATTATCTTCTCTTGAAAGTCAGATTCCCCATAAAATTGTCTAAGTGTGGGATTACCATTTTAATTTTTTCATAGCTATTGAATTATATTTTCTGGGTCAAAGGTATGCCAGTTTTGCAGAAATTTGTCCATTTTTCCTAGGTTTTCAAAAATCATACACATGGAATTATATGTGTACAATTTATATTTTAAACTTTTGTGGAATTCTATTTTCATTCTAAATTTTTTTCATTATGTCTTTTTTTTTTCCCCCTTGTTCAGACTTGCCAGAGGTTTGCCTAGATTACTGATTTTCTTCAAAGAAAAATTTTTGCTTTCAGTGGTTTTTGTTGTATTTCTATTCTCTGTTCTGCCCTTTATTATTTCCTTCCTTGGGTGTACCTTGCTGCATTTCTTTTAATACTTAGCTCATTTGTTTTAGTCTTTCTTTGCTCTCCAATAAGTATACTTAAAGCTGTCAGTTTCTCTCAGTATCATTTAACTGTTAAATGTTGATATGAAGTGCTTTGTCATTCATATCTAAGCATATCATAATTTCCTTCTTAATGTTCCTGATTTAAATAACCAAAGGTTATTTTATAGTATACTTTTGTTTGTTTCTAGTCTATCCCAGTATGGTTAGACTTAGCGTTAGACAAGACTTTTGTCATGTTATACTTACATTTCAGGATTCTTTTCTAATTTTCTTTTACATTATAATAAGAGTATACTGATTCTTTGAAATTTGTTTGGCTTACTTCGAAACACAATCCTTTTTGGTAAATGTTCAACATATGTTGGAAAAGACTGTGTATTCCGTGCTGAGTGAAAATTTCTTCTGTATGTGTTTATTCATTTGAGTCTGTTGTGTTTTTAAGTCTCCTGTCTTTCCTTAGCTGCCAGTTTCTGAAAAGGATGTGTTATTTGTTGATTTATCTGTTTCTCCTTATAGTTTTACTGATTATTGCTTTTTATATTTTTAAGCTGTATACTCAGGAGTATATATGTTCATGTGATCATTGTGTCTTATTGATCAATTATTCCTTCTATCAGGATGTTTTCTTTTTTTTCTCTATCAAAACTACATTAAAAACCAGGAGACTTTTTCCCCTTCCATACTTGCCTGCTAGTGTTTTTCATCCCTTTTTTTTTTTTTTCCACTCTTTCTGTGTCTTTTCTACTGAATCCCTTGTAGACAACATAGTAAGGGAATTTTTTTTTTTTTTCCTTTTTCAATCTAGAGAGTCTCTTTGATTAGTGAAACCGTTTATGTTTCTTACAATCACTATTGTATTGGGGGCTTATTTTTGCCATCTTCATGTTTTTTTGTTTACTTCATTCTTTTCCCCATGTTTTCTTGCCTTCTTTTAGAAGTCTAAATTTCCTTCTGCAAGTTTGAAGACATATATATCTTTTAACTTTTTATTTTATATTGCAGTAGAGTTGATTTAACGATGTTGTATCAGTTTCAGGTGGACAGCAAAGTGATTCAGTTATATGTATACATGTATCTATTCTTCTTCAAATTCTTTTCCCATTTAGGTTGTTACATAATATTGAGTAGAGTTCCTTGTGCTATACAGTAGATTCTTGTTAGCTATC